GTGCCAATTTCTCCCAAGCAACCCAAGGGCACGGGCAACTTCGACGAGGAAGATGATGAAGAGGAGCCTGACCTCGAAAACCCGGAGGAGAATGAGGCTGAGGACTGAGAGCTGGCCATCGGGATGGAGTCCTGATCATGCGATCGCTGCCTGGGGCTCGGCTCTGTTTCCATTGGGCCATCCTTAAGAAAGCTTTGCAAAAGCCTCTCTTGCAAACGAGAACTCCTTCCCAAAATTCATAACGGGAGCACCGTAGAACTTCTTGGGCAAGGAACGGAAATGCCCCCCCAGGCACCGCAAGAGCTTTTCTATGAGAGCCTCCTTCCTTGAACCACGAAAGAGCGCGTGACAGCTGGCTTGGATTCGGTCAATCTAATCTAGGTGACATAGCAGAAGACATCCTTGCAAGATCGCCGCTCTTGAGCTTTGCTTCGGCCATCACGTTCTGCCGCCACGGCCGGAATTTTGAATCCAGCCATCGGACACGGTTCTCTCACAGCTAGCAAAAAGAGCTCGGGAGGGAGAAGTTCCCTGCTTAATATTCCAAGGCTGCTCCATGAGGCTCACTTTGGAGTCCAGCAATTTTGTCGCAAGGTTTGGAGTGCGGACTGCGGATGCAGGGTTTGACATGGCAGCTGTCGTCCTGGAAGCTAAACGTCTTCTCTTGCCCAGGGTTGTGACGGCTGAATGGCCATCGTGTGGGTCACCCAAAAATAAGCCCTTTTCTTGTCCGAGAGCCTTGCGTCAGCGCTTCCCAGTGCCCTGACCAGCAAAAGCCGGGATGATCATCTTTTCTGTGCCCAGGGGGTCCCATAGTGTCGAGTCTATAGGAGTATGAAGCAGAAATGTTGCTCTAGCCACAATCACCTGAAGCGAAGTTCATTTCATGTACATTACAGAGGTAAGTGCCCCACCCGGCCTGCGTGCACAACTAAGACAGAGCTTCCTTAACCTGAAATCTTGGACCCCTGCTGTCTCTGGCCTCTCCCCAAGGCCCGCCCCCGCTTCTCGCTCCTGAGGCCGCCTGGTCGCCGTCCTTTCCAGCCGAGGCCAGCGATCCATGTCAGGTTTTGCCCCTCAGGATTTTTCTTAGACTAATTTCGGGGGGCTTGGGCTCGACCGCTGGGACAACAACGTCCCTGAGGATGTGCTTAGCGTTTATGGTTACACAATGAAGAGACCAAGCCCGATACTGACACTTTTGAAACCTGAACCTCCGTATCCTAAACATCCAAGCGCTTTCTCCCGTGTCCCTGGACCCTTCCGGGTCTAATGTCGCTCACTCCCGAATGCAGAACGACGGTTGGTTTCTAAACGTACTGAGACCATTCCTTAACCCTGTGTATTGGTAATCGCTATAAAATATGTAACGTGCGGATTTCCACAAAGCACAAAAGCACTAAACTCTGCAACCTGAATCCTTACTTGCTCAGTCCTCAATCCTGGCACTTGTCCCTGCCTGAGGCTTAGAGCCCGCTTTCCAAATTAGGGAGGGCCGGGGTCGACAATGGCCCGACAGTTCTGGAAGTAGGGTGCAAGACTCAAGTCTCTGCTTTAGCATTTCGGAGGAAATGCGGAAATGCATAGCAGCAGAAACCCTGCTTCCCAAGCCTAGCCCTCCATGCAGAAACCTTTGAATATGGCATCGACCAGTGGCTTAGTACTAGGAAGCTGGTTTTGCTCATTTGGCTTTGAGAATGTGAGGTTGAGCCTTTCTGAAGGCCCATTTGTTCAGCGACTCGGAGAGTTTCCTTAGAGGCCATTTCGTGAAGTGATCACCTCCGAGCATCCGAATGAAAACAAATCCTGAGACCCCGAATCCGAGCCCTATGTCAAATCATTTTAGGACCCAGCTATTTCATGATCATCTTCCAAATGCAGCTAACATCCATCCAATGCTTTTCTTATCGACTCAAACCCAAGCGGCCGCCCGGCTTCTCCTTTCTTCCGTTGGACAATCAGGGAAACCCGGGATAGGTTGGGATTCGAACCGCCAATTTTATGTCGTCCTGGATTTCGCAACTTCTTCAGGTTAGAAACTGGCAGGGTCAGGGTGCATGCTTTCTAATCGCTGCCTACCGCTCCTGCCAGTGCCGCTTCAAGTAGTCAGCCCGAGTAGACAGACAAATCGACAGCAAAGGCAAAGCACCTAAAACAAAAGGCTTCTCTCTGTTTGAGTCATCAGGCTACACGTATGTGTTTCTGCTTTTGAAGCTCGGAGGAACATCTAGATTACACACAACGATCGTTGCGGCTACGCACGGACATCATTCATCCTGTTCGGCGGCATGCAAACATCACTTACAGGGGTAGCACGGGGCAGTTGAACATAAGATGGCGGCTCTTGAAGTTCCCCCACATCCGAGACTGGAGCAACAGCAGTGCCGCCAAGTGCCTCATGAAGGCCACGTCGAGTTGTCAGTTTGGGACCAGAGGTGGGTCCTCAGACACAAACTAACTGGCGAGGTCATCAACGGGCCATGTCAGGGCGTTGCCTCGCTCCACTTCGCGGACACCGGCCTTGCCTACTTGAGTAACGGCTCGAAAGTGGTTTGGGTCAACCGACTCTTGAAATACTGCGTCTTCGAGTCCTTGGCGTGTGGGCGACTCTTCGTCTTCCGCAAGGACCGCAACGAACGACTATGGCTCGAGTCGATGCAGAAACAACGACAACTGCTCTACCCGGCTGACGACGACTTTCGGGGACTGCAGTCAGACATGCTGTCGATTCTGCAAACAAATGAGCAGTACTACTTCCGCCTCAAGCCTTTCACCCGACTGAATCGGAGCGACCTCTCCAAGAAGCTTCGACGAACCTGGGTGCCTTCTTTCGAGGAGAAGACAGGTGAGAAGCAGAAGGCCCACGTGCGTTGGGGTCCTCGGAATAAGCAGCACCAGGGCGACAACAGCGAAAGAGCTCATGACATATTCGCGTCCACTTTCCTGCTGCTATACATCTTGGTGCTGCAAGCAGCTCAGGGAACGACGGATCAGAGGAAACCCTTCCGGGAGCTGCTGGTGAACCTGCTGGGCAAGTGGCTTCCTCCGTCCATGTCTTGCTTTCTGAATGAAGGGGAGCAGGAACTCCACATTGTTGGGGGGCGGACGTCCTTTCGAGACATCTGTCAAGAGAGGAGCTACCGGCAGCGAACCAAAAGAATCCGTAGAAAGCTTCCTGTCGAGGACCAACATATTGCGGATATACTGGTGACGATTTATCGCTGGAAAGCTTATGACTGGCTTCTTCAAGATTTGTTGAGAGGCCTAGTGCCGCACTTGGAAGCAGGGGTGACATGCCAGAACTATCCAGGCGAACCCGCGGACAGTCATTGCTTCGAGACAGAAGGTCTTGACTGGCGAGATCCGAATGTTCGGCAGAAGCGACTGCAAAAGGCGCTAGAAAAGCGCAAGGCCACCAAGGGGACAACGGCTTTACAGAAGAGGAATGATCGAGCGAAGTTCTCTCTGGCCAGGTCTCTCATAAATCCGAGACAGAAGCGCCTGGAAAGGAGTCAGTACTTCATGTCCCTTCGCAGACAGATGTCAAGCTGCACTCGCCTTCACGTGGCCTTCGACGGGTCGCGTGTGGGAGGGCGCAAATGGAACACTTTCTGTGCCTTGGACGCTTCCTCTGGTGCCTCCTGCTGGCCACCCCCTGTTCGCTTTCGCGATGGAGGCTACAGAAATCCCTCAGAGCTGCCCAGCGAGGCAGAAGCAGGGCGTTTCGACCAGAGGTTGTTGGAGTTTCTGGAGGAGATGAGAAGTCGAGAGAGGTCGCTAGAACCCACCAAGGTCATCGAGACAACAACGAGATGCTCGGCCTTAACTGTGTGGTCTTCAGAGGCATATTGAGAAATGCCCGTGATTATTGGTTCTGGTCAGAGAAATAATTGAGGTCATCGGTTGCATGCGGATTAACACAAGTGAGACAAGCATAAGTAAACCAAAAAATGACAAGCTCTTGCTTACTTCCTTGCTCTGCACGGCCGCGGTGGGAGAGCCAAGGATTGGCCTCCTACGAACAGGTCCTCGCCCTCGACCACGTGGTTCAGGCGGTGGCTGGGCAGTTCCACGGGCTGTCATCCTTCCTGCCGGCGACAGACGACAGGAGGCCTCTTCTGAACAAGCCGGCCCTCATTGTGACCGCAGACGCCGGCCCAGACGTACAGGCGGCGTTGGCCTTCTTGCAGTATGGGGCGAAAATGCGTAACTTGGCTGGCTTCTCGAGTGCTTTACTTTATCGTATGACCGAAGACCAGCAAAACCGCCGCACCGATCACCAGCCCAATGTATCGC